CCCCTCCCCTGCCTCCTCCCCTGTCCCCTCCCTAGTGCCCTCCCCGGTCACCGGCACAGAGGAGAGACAGAGGGGAAGGCTCCCTTCGCTCTTACTCAGGCGCTGCCTCCTCTCTGCCGGACTCCAAGTTAGTCCCCGGGAGGGGGCTTCCAGCACCCGGCTGCCTGCGCGGTCTCCGCACCCTGCCCGGAGCCCGGAGCCCGGGGCGCCCTCCCTGTGAGCTCTGGTGCGCAGCTTCCCCAGCTTGGCCACGGGGCAAGGTCCTTCCAGCTTCCCGCTGCGCTTGCTGAGACGTCCCCACTGGCTGGCTGTGCCCCATCGTGCTTCTAATCAGTGGTTCTCAACCTTCCTAACGCCGCGACCCTAATACAGCTCCTCATGTTGTGGTGACCCCCAATTCCATTGTTACAAATTGAACATAATTAAAGCGTAGTGATTCATCACAAAAACAATACGTAATTATATATGTGTTTTCCGATGGTCTTAGGCGACCCACAGGTTGAGAACCGCTGTAGGGAGCCCGGGGGCCCTGGCCGGATGTGCTCAGTGGTCAGAGCGCCGGACTGCGCACCATGGGCTCGGGCTGCCTGCCGCTGTGTCCACTCACGAAGGCAGGGTTGCATCATATATAGACGTTTATGGAGAAGGCCATCCCGCCCAGAAGACAGGGCGCTTGCAAGCATCAAGTCCTGCCTCCCAGCAGGTGCAGGGGCAGGATTATAAAAGGGAAGGGGCTGGGGTGGGGCTGGGACCAGCAGGCAGCTACGTGCAGGCCTGGGGGTCCGCAGACGTCAGCTATTGTCCTTAGTCCTCAGGCGATGCGATGATGCAGATGAGATGATGTTGATGGGATGATGTTGCTGAGATGATGTTTTGACTCCTGGTGGGCCGGCCTGACCCTGCTTATCGGGTCTGCTGGCTGGATTCATGGCTGAGTCACCTCCTCCATCGCTTCGCACAAGCCTTGGAAAGGAAACTTAAGAAAAACTGAAGCCCCTCTTCACCTAAGTATAAGTTTTCTAAGATTTAAAATACTGTGATTATTTTCCAGATTAATCCAGGCGCTCTATCTATCAGGTTATAGGTCCCCCTATCAGGGTCCCTCCGCTCATACCCTCATACCCTCAGTCCATCAAGGGCACGTTCCTGGTTTGCAGGTTCCATCCCCGATTTGGGGCGCATGTGGGAGGCAACCAATCGATGTTTCTCTCTCCACCTCCTCTCCTCTCTTATCTGTGTCCCTCCTGCCCTGGGCCACCTTGTCTCCTAGTTCTTGGGGTCCTTTTAGTGGGAATAATACTTAGGAAGCAAGGCCTGGGGGTAGGCGAACCCAGGGCTACCGGGGTTTTGTTCCATGGGGACCACTTAGTGTCAGGGAGGATGCACAGTGTCCGTCCACACAGGGAGTTCCCACCCCGTGTTACATCACAGGGTCATTTATGTTGTGCTTGTATTTCTCATATGAAAAGCCAATTCCTTACTAATTCCTATAGATGCCTCACCTTTTCTTTTCTTTTCTTTTTTTCCTTTTCTTTTCTTTCTTCCTTTTCTTTTCTTTTTTTCTCTTCT